ATTTTCCCTTTGTAAGTAATAGGATGCAAGTGCAATATTTCAGATACCAAAATGAGGTAACTGTCAGTATAGAACAATTTCTGTGCTGAAACAAAAATAACTGCAGTTATGACACACTGAACACATCTATACGTGTGCCCTTAAGATGACATAAGGAAACTAACATCACATTAGTGGCCATATTTAAGGCGCGTTAAGGATGGGTCTACACATGCCCATCCTTAACGTGCCTTAAATATGGTGCCTTAGAGTGATCTTGGAGTAAATTTGATACCTGCATAAAACTGGTATCAAATTTATGCTTGAAAGTTAAGGTGCCATAAGCCAAGTGTAGATGCGGTACAGTGCCTTAACGCTATCAGCTGCACCTGCTGCAGCCAAGCATATGGAGCCACGGGCTGCTGCCAAGCAGCTCCAGGAAGAATGGCAGAAGAACAAAGAACATGCCTTTGTCCCAGGGTGGGGTTCCTGGCTGGGCAATGCAACACTGCAGGCAGTGGGACACCTCACTGCCCACCCGGGATTCAGGTGCCCTTAGAAGCTGGCACTGTGGCTTCCCCCCAGAGAGCAGGCACACTGGGTCTGCATCTACCCCAGCACCTGGCATAGCATTGCCTGCTCCAGCATGGCAGGGCTTTCTTTGGCACAGCTCCAGCACCCAGCACAACTTTCCCCCCATCCACAATGCACCCAGCGTGCCTGGCCTGAACCTGGAGGATCTGAGGCTGCCTCTCTCACAGGCAGTGTCGGCAGGGAAGAGGATGGCATCAGCTCCTCAAGGCTCAGCTCCGGCACGTTGGGTGCAGCATGTGCAGGGGAAAGTCATGCCCAGTGATAGAGTCACACCAGAGAAAACCCCACCAGGCTGGAGCACAGAGGCATGCCGGCTGGAGCAAGCAATGCAGTGCCGGGTGCTGGGGTAGACAAAGACTCAACCTACCTGTTCTCTCTGTGGGGAGCCACAGGGCAGCTTCTAAGTGTGCCTGAATCTCAGGCAGGCAGTGAGGTGTCCCGCTGCCTACAGTGCTGTATTGCCAGCCAGGAACCCTGCCCAAAGGCAAACACTAGTGACATCAACACCCCTGCTCCTGCCTGCTCTCATCTGCTAAAGAAGGGCTTAGAGCAGGGATGTGTGGGGAGCTGTCCAGAGTGCTGACCAGGGCAGCCTGCAAAGGCGTTCACCCAGCAAGCCTCTTTAAGGTGCCGTAAGGCATACACGTGTAGACGCCTGTTTAATGCGCCTGAAGGGGCATTGCCCTTAAGGCACATTAGGCTTCATCGCGCATTAATGCACATGTAGATATGTGCACTAAAGATGACTGTCAAAGTCAAGGGAAGTTCAGAGGCTATTTGAATTCACCTCATTACAAACAGAGAGATTGGAGTCTGCTGCAAACTTTGCTTCTAAGCATATAAAAATTATGAGCACATGAATGTATCCTATGGTGAGTACAGGGTCCTTTTAAACTCAATTCATGGAAGATATGAGTTGCTTATGCTTTTAGTTGCAGAGATACCTGGTTCAATCCCTGGTGTGCTCCAAGATCATTGCTGTTAAATGATTCAGTCTCAGGCTTCTAGTTTAGCCAATTTGAGGGTTTGGAGTTTACAAGTACTACCAACATAGAGTTCAAAATCTTCCTCCATGTTCAGGCTGGTATGTTCAAGGGGCCAAAGGAAATTAGGTACTGTGCGGGCCGGCTCCTGGTCCCGTCCTCGCCGGGCGTGAGCCGGGCCCGTCTGTGTGCACGCGGGCTGTGGCCGGTAGCCGGGGCACGCGGGGCCGGAGAAAAGTTGCGGGGTGGAGTAATACGCTTGAGCTAGAATCAGTTACGGAGGCGTAATGGTTGATTGAAAAGATTATTTACTTACACCGGAGATGGTCGCGGTGTAGGCTGGACAGTTTTCCAGGTACAGCTCCACTTCCTTCCTCGTTGGAGGACTCTAAAACTCCGTTCCCAGGATCCTCGGAGTGGTTTAGACTCCGTGGTGTCGATAACTGGGTTCTAGGGTAGGGATTCGTCTGGGCTGTGATCAGTGATGAGGAGAGGCTAGAGGCCGTTGGTAAGTGGTGCCCCAGAGTTTGCTAGGCTCCGGGGGTTTGGCAATTGGAGCCTCTATCGCCTTCTTAAGAAAGACGCGCTGGGTTCGAAAGGACCCACAGCGCTTAGAGATCCGTCTCTCCGTCTCTCTCCGTCTTTCTCTCCAACTTGGATGGAAACCACCCAAGCCTTTTGTACAGCTAGCAAGCCAATAGCTAGCCGCCACGTGTGCCTAAATTAAGACCGGCCAATAATGTGGCTCAAATCT